TTGGGTTCTGTCCCTCTGAGTCAGTGGGACTCATCTCTGTACCACTGCTGGAATTTATTCAGCTAGTTTCCTGGAAAGCTAATGACCCATTTCCTATCTTGTCTTTTAAGTAAAGGATAAAGTCTCTAAAATGGGCCAGAATAGAAGTCTCTCTGTTTTTTCAAGTACGCTACATCTTGTAGGAACACACCTACAGCGTGCGATCGTTGTGCAAAATTCTGACTTAATTAACACTGCACTGAAATTCCTAAGTAAAACAAATGGCTAGGAAGAAGTTTCTTACAGACATTAAGTAATAGCTTTCACTGTCACTTCAAAAGAACAATGTCTGGAAGGTCTGCCTGGAAAAACTTCCTGAACAATGAGGAAATCCACAGGGTGCATCCTGGGTGCTGCAGGGTCACAGCCACTATGCCCTGCACTGGGGGATCCCACCAGCCTGGAGAGGAAAGAGATGGAAAAGAAGGGAAGGAAGAAACTGCATTTAAACAAACAAATCCAAAGCAAATGAATACAAAGCCTCATCCTCTGGACAGATGTCTGTTTATAGAAATGGGTAGCCAGGATATGGTCAAGCATACCAAGTATCTTTAAGAAAAAACAACCTTCAGAGAAGTAAATTTTTCATATGCTGAACTTTTTGGAGATGCACCTGTTGAAATTACTGGTGTGAGATGCTTGAAATCTTTCCACTTCTTCAAATTTAAAAAAAATTAGTCCAGACACATGACACATGACAAAGCAGAGCTTGGTTGTCTACTACTTCTGCTGCTGAGATTGTAGAAGTGGAAAATAATCAAGACTTTAAGGGGCATTTCCATCTTTGCCTGCTATAAGATCCTCATCCTTGATTGTTTCTTGTCTGCTAGTAGGGACATTAAGCAACACTTTCCATCAGCAATGATGATACCTCCAGCACAATATCTCAGGACATACCACTAAGCTGCTTTAGCAGGCACTTTCAGCTGATTCCTGAATTTCACAATTGTACCCTGAGCCTGAAACTCCCCACTACTGCCTGGACTGCTCCCCTTTGGGTGTAGCCCTCCTTAAGCATCATTAGACAATTCACCCAACAAACAACTCCCATCATCAGTTTAGCCCATGCCTCATCAAATTGAGAGCACAAATTTTTTTAATAAACTCTTCACATGACCAACTCCCTGTCTCATTATTATTGCCATGTTTTAAACTCACTTTCACTCACATCCCAAATAATCTCCATGTAGTCCCACCAAAACCCCACAAAGCCGGATTATCTCTGCCACAAGTCATCTTTTTCAAGGCCTAAATCCAAAACCTAGAGGAATTACTATAAAATTTTATTTTCATTTTGGATTGCTTTAAATCATTTTACTGCTTACAATGTGTGTGTATTTAAAATATTTTATGGATTTAAATAGGTGGAAAAATGTATTTTTCCACAGGTCTGGTTAGAAAAACAGGCTTGTGCTGCACAACACAGAAAGACACCTTGGAAATTGCTAAGGTTTTCAGACAAGTAATGCTGCAGTGCACATGGTTTGGCTTTCTCCCACTTCCCCCTAAGTATCCTCCACACACCTTCTCCCAAAGGACACAAACTGTCCCCACTGATCACACTGATCACTTATTTTTTCATTATTTCACTATGACATTCATTCCATTCAGGTAGGAGTAGGAATATCAAGTCTTGACAGTTTATTCATTATTTCATCCTCCAATGACCAATTTTCATTAATTTCTACTCAACATAGACAAAAGGTGTTGTGATGGCTTGCAAAATGTAACTACATGAGATTTATACAGAGATTTTTCTGAGTGTAAAAATTGTTTTGCAAAGCATTTTCATCCCCAAATAAGTGTTCAGAAAGTTGATTCAAACTTCACAAGGAAGATCCCTGCCCTTGCAGTTTCAAACACAGCCTCAATTTCCTAGTAAAGGCCACCCAGAAAATCACACACTGGCATTGTCCATTCTCTTCTTAGGCATTGTTTGCGGCAGGGGATGCACATTACCAGGTAAATAATTACATTTGCTGACTTTCAGGTTGTGATATTGCCCAAGTATTGCCCTATGTACAACAATACACAGCTTTGCAAGTTGGCTGTTTCAGTCCTACCACATTTTCCTTAAGAGCATGGAAGCTGAAAGCAATTTAAGGTGAAAATCCCAGGCTTTGCATTCAGTAACCAAGACACTGTGTGGGATGCCTTCCTGGTTTTCTCTGGGATTTATTTCTTCATCTGGTCTGACAAGGCTCACCCCCACTCATCCATGAGAAACCACAGACAACAAAGCATCTCCCAGGCTCTACCCAGGGGTGCCCATGCTGAGGGCAGGTTCTTGAGGGGTTATAGAGGCACCTGTTTGACTGGGTTTGCATATTTTCAACATAATTTTACATCTCACATAATTCTTGTCCTCATTTGATTCTCCTCTCATCCCACAATCAATGTGAGCAGACAGACTTTCAGAAGTCATAAAACCTGTAGAACTGTACCTGTGTTGGTGTAGAACTGGTAACATGGAGTTGTGGAATATCCAGAGTTGGAAAAGATCCACAAGAATCATCAAGTCCAACTCCTGCCCTGCACAGGACATGTGCTGCCTTTAATGCTCAGTCCCTCATTTCCATTCATTACATTGTGCTTTAGCTTAAATATTGTCTAAGTAAACTACAAGACTTTACAATCTATTTAATTTCAGGCTAATTAAATTATCATAACAGCAACAAGAAATTCAATTACACCATCATGAAAACAACTATGAACTACACCAAGCTCTCACTTGAAGTAATACTCAGGATTTCCTGTCTTGAGGCTACTGGTATTTGGGCCAATATGAGGGAGCATCCCAAAATGCACGAAGTTTGTAGAGTGTTGCAGGCTCCTTTGGCTTTCTGTCTCCCCATCTCCCTCCCTCACCAGTGCTGTCCCATTCCAGCACCTATGGACTGACAATTCTGCTGACAAAAAGCAAGTCCTTCCCTTTCCTTTTTACTGAGGACACCCCTGCAACACCTGTGGAGAAAAAGAACCCCAAAAGCTGACATCCCACTAGAATAACCCACCTCAGCTTCACAAAGCCAGCTAAAAAATGTACTGCTTATTCAAGCTACAGACTCAGTGCTTCCACATGGTCCCTCTTGGAATGAGGGGAGTTCAACACAGAACTCCTCTGCAAATAAATCACACCCAGGTGTGTAAGACACACAGGCAAGGCCTGACTTTGGCAGACTCCAGCCTAACATCAGCAATAGGTTTGGTGAGCTGGCTCAATCGCACTCTGTTTCCATTTAGGATGCTCTTCACAATTATTTTTCTTCCTCAGAAGTGCTAATTCACAGGCAGTCTCTGTATAAAGTGCCTCATTAATTATTTTTCCAAGCAGGAGCATCAAGTGGGGGATCCTCACAAGCACGAACAGCAAACATAAGCCAGGGGATGAGCACAGGATTTTAATTCTTTCTTCCATAATGTCTTCCCTCTGCCTCTTGCCTATGCAAAGATGCTAAGGGCAAAAAAGAGCTGTGTCTGGAGCACTGCAGAGCACTCAGCATGACCAAGGTACCCCTCCCTGTGAGCTGCAGGCAAGTCTCAGACGCACACATCCAGCCCTACTTCACAGATAGGGATTTCCCAACCTTTCGGCATTAGCTCCCAGTTCTAATTCTAGACGATATCCAGGGCAAGGATCTACGTGATTTCCCCTAAACCAATAAACTCTCTGAATTTCCTAAGTTGTTTTTTTGTTGTTGTTGTTTTTTTTTCCCAGTAAATACACATCAAACTTTTCAGGTGCTCACAACTCAGGGACCAGAAACTTGAAATGCTGAACTGTGAAAATGCAATTTTGGCTGCAGCGTAGGGATGAATGTAAAGAAAAACAGAAATCCATGGGGACTGCACCCTCATGGCTCTGACAGGACTTGAAACCACCCTCAACGGGGCAAGAAAAACTGACAGTACTGACAGGACACTGTCGAAAAATCTCAGCATGTGAGGCCAGTAGCTCTGCTGAATGCTTTTTGGGTAAAATTTAATAACTGGACATCCTTCCCAATACGGGAACCTCTTGAAAGACCCATTGTGATTTCAAAGGATGACTAACAGAGGAGGGGCTCAATGTTTGAACTCCCTCTGCACCACAAAGAAAATCCCAAAGCAAAAAAATCCAAGGACAAGCTGGGTTGTTTGCACCACCCAGGAGCCCCCCTCCGGCCCAAATCCTCAGCACAGAGTTTGATCTCCCAGCCCACAAGAGAGAGGGCTCTCACAGGCTCTGCATGCATCATACATCAAGTGCTAGAACTGGACTTCCTTTTCTCATGCAAGCTTTTATCCCACTTGTAAATCTTCAGCCTTACAATTTGCTTTGCAAATACTCTACCTGCTGAGTGATAAGCGGTAGAGGTAAGAGTAAGCTGTGTTTCATACTGAACTACTCTAACAAAAAGACTCCCTAAACCTCAGAATTACACTCTTTTCCTTCATAGTTTAATAGCAATAGACATAATTTAAAGCCTTATTTGTTTGTTTGTTTGCCCTCTCTCTCCTAACATTTTAATAGGAGAAAGAACTGCCCTTACACAGTCAGACTGTGTAAGGTACCCAATTTTTTTACCTCGGTACCCACCAAGCAGCGTTGCCACTGCCCCCAACGGGCCTTTCAAAGCATCAGCCCATATGCTGCTGGTCGGATTCCCACTGGCAAAGCCCGGCGCCTCAGAAGCCGCCGGGTCTGTAGAACAGAGATCTGTCACACGGGCAGACTCAGCCGCAGCGCTCCACATTCAAGTTTCACCGTCTAATGTAACTCCCTCAGTGGGAACTTCTAAAGCATCGCCCTTAAGAAAGTGCTCCAAACTCCATCGGACGCTGAGAATCAGCTCAACCCGCGCTGTTCCGCCGGCTGCCGAGCACTGCGAGGGATGCGCGGTGCTCCCGGAGCGCTGCCGGCGGCTTTCCCCCAGCCCCGGGGTACCCGGAGCGCTGCCGGCGGTCCCCCAGCCCCGTACCTCGGATGTAGGCGCACTTGCTGTCGTCCAGCGGCGAGGAGGCAGAGGCGCCCATGTCTCGGTGCGGAGCTCCGGGAGC